ATTCTCGCAATATTTCAAACCCTCCACCAGCAAAAAGATCATGACTTGCTGAAGGCTCAGATGGTGGTCAGCGTTTTTTAGCTATAAGGTATTTTTTAACCAAAGTACATAAATTGCTTTTGTAGACATAATGCTATTGCACACTTAATAGGCTACAGCATCGTGTAAACATAGATTTTATATACACTGGGAAACCAAAAAATTCCTGTGATTTCAATATTTGCTTTATTGTGGTCTAGAACTGAACCCACAGTGTCTCTGAGGCATGCCCATGTCTGTTCCACTGGACAGAATTTTTTGGTACAGGTCAAAAATCTACACATTAACAAGTAAGTTTGGAACCTTTCTTTAATCAGTAGTAAGCAGTGAGATGAGCTAAGTTCATTCCCCTAGACCAGGGGCCAGCAGACTTTTTCCCTGGAGGGTCAGAGAGTGGACCTTTCAGGCCTCACAGGCCACACACTTGTCATCTCATCTTTCTGTCCCTGCCCTTTCCCCCTTTCTCCTTGGCAGTACGGAAGCAGGCTGTGGGCTGGATTTGGCCTCTGGGTCATCGCGGTACGCCAGCTCCTACCCTAGACAGTCCTTGGGTGACACAAAAGGGCCTTCTGCTACCTCGCTTGCTTTCCAAGTTTTCATGTAACTTTTCTAACAGTGCTTTCTCAAAGAATAAGATCTAAATACAATCCCTATTTTGGTGGGTGGGGTGGTAAAATTTTGATATTAAAACATTCTTCATATTAGAAAAGTTGGGAACATTTTCCCAAGTTCGAAAAAGGGCAAGTTTTGATGAGAGAGGGAAGTGGGAGGGAAGTTGCTAGTTTCAGACACTGACTCCGGCTGTTTAGAGGGACTCCCATCGGCCGGGTGTTGGACATACTGGGTTAGGCAGTTTTGCCCAGTGTTTCCCGGTCCTTTGAAAGTTTCTCTGTTGAATGTCAACATTTTAGGAACGATTTACCTTGCTTCAAAATGCATTTTCTGTCTACAGAAAAAGGGGTCTGTATGTTTTTTTGAGAGTGTGGGCATGCTGTGTTTTGGAGGGAGACCTCTGGGAACTGGGAGAAGAACCAGCAGTGGCTTCCTGGCTGGTTTATTCACCTTCACTCTCTCTTTGGAAACAGATGTAAATTGAGATTTCTTACCTGTTGAATGTTTGCAAATTTATTGAGATTTTTCTCTTGTGCTGTTGGTTCCTAGCAGGAGGCCTTGAATAATGCATGGCGTGATTGCTTTTATTGATAAACACAGTTAATTTTAATTATAGGACTAAGATTTATGTTAATCTTTTCTCTTTAATTTATTTTTGTCATTTTGAGTAAACCCATGAATTAATTGCTTTTAACCAAAGAGAGGAAACATTCCTTTGGGGGCTTAATGACGTGTTTGGCTGCATTGGGGTGAAGGGGTTTATTCTTTTCTCTGTGTCTGTGTGTTTTGTCCACATGGTGGCTGTGTTGGTGTCTGAGCAATGTTTGATTGACATGCCCCTGACTTATGGTGGGAAGTGCTCATTAAATCCTCTGTTCAGTTATTTAAGTCATTGTTTTGGGGGACAGTTCCTTTGGGGGAAAAATACTGGTTGGAGCATCACATTCTATTTCATGAAAATTCTGAGGGCAGCCGTCTTATAGGAGACTGGCACCATATGTCTCAAATTGAAGATTTGGAATTTGATGTAAAATTATTCTAAAAGAGCTTTGAACACCAACCAGGGCCAAGAAACCTGACAAAGTCACCACCTACACTGTCTTACTTACTAGGGAGCGGGTGGGTTCTTAGTGGTGGGGGACCCAGGGGAGGGCAGCCGAGGGCGGGGGCCCTGGATCACTAAGTGCCAGGCAACGTGATGATTATTCACAGCTGTCTTTTTGTCTGGTTTCTGTTTCAAACCTGTGCTTTTTTTTTCCCTTCCTTTCTTGTTTTCCTTTTGGTTGTCAGTTGATGTGACAGCTCACAGCAAAAACTTAGCTGATGACAGGAAAGGCAATTTCCCCCGATTCATTTCTTTTTTAAAATAATTTCACTAATTTATACCCCAATGTATACTTCGGTAGGTGGTTTATATAAATAATACAATATGAAAAGATATAAAAACAAGTGAGGACATGGAGTGAAGGGGGCCATGCCTCCCGCATGGTAGGCGCTGTTCTCTGTGCCTGGAATATTTCCAGAAAGAAAGCAGACTTGTCCTTATGGAGCTGTATTCTAGCCCGGGATAAAGGGAGGGCAACAAGGAAGAAATGCACAAGTAAGGATGCGCCACGGTGTTACTTGGAGCTCTGTGGACAACAGTAAAGCAGGGTTGGGGTGAGGTGGGGTGGAAGGAGAAGAATTTGCTGTTTTATAAGAAGGGCCTCTGGGAGACGACCTTTGATTGAGACCTCGATGAAGCGAGGGGTGGATTATGCGGCATCTGAAAGAAGAGCTCAGGTAGAGGGAACAGTAGGTGTGGAGGCTTGAAGGCCTCTGTATTCACGAGAGGAGTAGCCAGGGGGCTGGAGTAGCTGGAGTGGAGTGAGGAGGAGAGCATGAGGAGGTGCAGGAGGCCTCACAGGTCATTGTACAAGTGAGGTTGGACTTCCACGTAGACTGCTCTGGCAGCCACACTGAGAATGGTGGGGAGGGGGCAGGGGAGGGAGCAGGGCGTCCAGGTAGGAGGGGAGGCTGTTGTATTAATTCGGGCAAGAGAGGATGGTTGCTGGGATTAGGGGTTACTAGTGGAGGTGGTTAAGATGTGGTTGGATTCTCTATAAAGTCTGAAGGAAATGCTGGATATATTTTTGAAGGATTTGCTGATGGATTGGATGTGTGTAGAGTATGTGAAAGAAGTCAAGATTTTGTCCTGAGTTCCTGGAAGAAGGGAATCACCATGAACTGATGTAGATAAAGCTGAGAAGATGCTCAGTGAATGGGGAATGAAAGGGAATTTTCTCAGCCTGACCCCACAGCTCACATCGTACTTAATGGTGAAAGACTGAACGCTCTTCCCCTAAGAGCAGGAACAAGACAAGGATGTCCACCCTTGCCACTGCTGTTTAACGTGGGGCAAGAGGCTCTAGCCGTGACAGTTATGCAAGAAAAAGAAACAAAGGCAGCCAGATAAGCCAGGAAGAGGTAAAACTATTTCTGTTTAGCCAATGACATAGTCTTGTATACAGAGAATCCTAAGGAATCGACTTTAAAAACTATCAGGACTAATTAATGGGTTCAGCAAGATTGTAGGAAACAAGATCAATATACAAAATTCAATTGTAGTTCTGTGCATTAGCAAAGAAAATTCTGGAAATGAAATTAGGAAAATGCTTGCATTGAACGCCATGAGACTGGATGAGATCACCCCAGAGAGGGAGAGAGGGAGGGAGAGAGGAAATGAGAGGGGGGGAAGAGAGAGAGAGAGAGACAGAGACAGAGAGAGAGAGAGAGAGAGAAGAAGGAAG